GGAAGATTATATGTGCACACCCAAAATTACTTCTCTCACACCTTTTATTTTTTTAATATTTTTCTATCAAATGTTAGCGGTGTGTAGAAAATATTAAAAAATTAAAAAATGTGAATGAAATAATTTGAGGTGTGTGAATATAATCTCTTTCTACAAATCTACTTCAATAACCTACTTTTCTTTCATCTCTATTTATTTTTATTTTTATTTTTTGTAAATATCATTTCTTATTTCATTTTTGCTTTTTGGTAAATTGAATCATTCCTTATTTCGCTCTTTAGTGGGACCCAAAAACACACAGGCCAGCAAGGCGAGAGATTTCTCCGGTCGAGCAAAGGGCAGTTCCCATAACACCCAGAGTGAGCTTTCCTGAAGCCGGTTTGCAGACTAAGGCCAGCAAGGTAGGCAAGAGCTGGTTGAGCAAAGGGGCGGTGCCCAGAACACCCACAGAGAGCTTTCCTGACAGCAATATGCAATTGATATCTCCTCAGGTTCTTTTCTGTCAAATTTTCTATGTATTAATTTTATAACAGGGGTGTATTCAATTGGGATTTTGAAGGATTTTAATTCTTTTAATGAATCTAGGGTATTCAATCAGGATTTTAAATGATTCTCTGAAAAAATTCAAAGTGTATTCAATTAGAATTTTAAAATACTATTAAAATCCTTAGAAATCCGGATGTATTCAATTAGGATTTTAAGGACGTTTATAACAATTTAAGTATATTCAATTAGAAATTGATTTTATATAATTTGAGAAAGTTGAAGAATTGGAGAGATTTCGTAGTGTATTTTAAGCATCTACAAATCTCACATCTTCCTATGAGATTTCGAATGAATTGAATCAAAATTTTATATGAAATCTCTACAAATCAATTAAACTCTATAAAAATCCATGGATTTATAAATCTATTAAAGTGTCTCAAATTCTCAATTGAATACACCCCTTAAGGTTTTGGTGGGATGCAAGATTCAAAATTCTGTTCTGTTAAACTTTCTCAGTATGTATTAATTTTATAATTTTAGGGTTTTGGTGGGATGCAAGATTCAAAATTCTATTCTGTTAAACTTTCTCAATATCTATCAATTTTATAATTTTAGGGTTTTGATGAGATGCAAGATTCAAAATTGTATTGTTGGATTATTTATCGCAGATTCCAAGGGAAAAACATGTGCCGTCGTTCGGTATTGTTGCATATATATCTCCATGTAGTTCGAGAAGTGTGTTTAGTGAATAGGTGCTGATGTGTCTCACCATGAACATTATAAAATTTAATAAACCCCCCGTAGATCGATCATGTAAACTAGCAAACAAATATGATTTCTCAACAGTCCTTATAAGTGTCTCTTCATCTTGGTCAGTAAAGGACTTCCAATGCATAGTTTGCAAGTACAGACCCTGAACCTACGACATGGTAGGCCCAGCTTTTCAAGGTATAATGAGGCGTATCTGCTAAGGGACCATCAACGTGGAAAATCTCTTGTCTAAGTCCTTTAGCAATGATTATTGAACATGTTTAAAAAAGGAGGATTTCTTTTCGTTACTGATGGACGCCGCACAAAATCTTTAAAAAATGATGAAAGAAAAATCATTTGTGATAATGTCATAAAACGATAGGCCATCTCTGGAAACGTGTGCTAGAGTGTGAATTGAGTCGTTCTGCCAGCTGGATCGGTAAAAACGATAGGCCGTCTCTGGAAACGTGTGATAGAGTGTGAATTGAGTCCTTCTACCGTTTCTGAAGTAGCACGTCTTGTTCTGGATACACCGATGGCAGTCTCTCGAAACGATCGGCCGAATCAGTAAAAATGATAAGTTGGTGGTCCCTTAGCAGCTTCAGAAACGGTAGAATGACTCAATTCACACTCTAGCACACGTTCCCACAGACGGCCTATCATTTTTACCGATCTCGCCGGTATAAGGACTTAATTCACATTCTAGCACACGTTTCCGGAGACGGCCTATCGTTTTATGACATTATGACAGACGATTTTTCTTTCATCATTTTCTAAAGATTTTGTGCGGCGTCCATCAGTAATGAAAATGAATCCTCCTTTTTTAAACGTGTTCAATAATCATTGCTGGAGAATTTAGACAAGAGATTTTCCACGTTGGACCTTAGCAGATACGCCTCATTGTACCTTGAAAAGTTGCGCCTACCATGTCATAGGTTCAGGATCTGTACTTGCAAACTTTGCATTGGAAGTCCTTTACTCTAACTAAGATGATGAAGAGACACTTATAAGGACGGTTGAGAAATCATATATGTTTGCTAGTTTACATGATCGATCTACGGGAGGGTTTATTAAATTTTATAATGTTCATGGTGAGACACATCAGCACCAATTCACTAAAACACACTCTCGAACTATATGGAGATATATATGCAAATCATATTAAACCGGACGAGGTAGTTATGGTTATCTTCTCTAAGGACTTTGATAAGAAGCGTATTCATAAGTGTTTCCACAAGAAGACAGTTTTTGAGGCACGCTCATGTGTTGGGCTACGTGAGAGGCTTGCAAATCACCCTGGAAGAGAACAAAGTCTAGAGAAAGTGGAAAGACAACTTGTGGTAAAAGCTGGTCCTAACGAATCCCCAAGGCTAGAGGATGTGATAAATGAATTTCTTGGAGAAGAACCAATGCCAGAGGAAGTGCCAGGGGATGCTTATGATGAACTGGAGGTCCCTGCTCGTGCTGGTAATTATTATAAACACATGCGCACACCTTTTTCTTTTGCCAATAATTTGAGTTGTTTGGTATATCACTGCCACTAAAGATTACTTAGTTCATATTTCTGCAATTTCAGCAATATAGCAACTTAACTGTCATTATAACTGTTGTATTGCCCTAAACCTGCAGCTAGCATTCTTTAATTTCGAGAGAAAAATATGTTTACAGCCCCACAAACAGCGCTTTTGGTCACACGTTATGACATAATATCAATGTGTCTATATATTCAGTGTCATGTGGTCGCAGTACTGGTTTCATCATCACCTTTTCTTTTATAAGGGATCTAGGCTATCATCTATATAAACATAAGTTAAGGTCCCTGTTACGCTAAACATACATGCACGCACACACATACACACCTAAAGTTAATATAGCATCCCCATTTCCACTTGTGCAAACATGATGCGCATGGAGAAGAAAGAATATCAATATTCATGTCTTTTTCGAGTTAGGCATAGAGTTAAAGGTCGTACCCAGTGCACAAGGCTCCCGCTTTACGCAGGGTCTGGGAGAGGTGAATGTCGGCTAGCCTTACCCCCATTTATGGAGAGGCTGCTCCCAAATCTCGAAAAACTTTTGACACTTTGGACTGGTCTTTTTCGATACAGGATTCTTACTGCTTTTGGTTTTCACATGTTTTGTTAATTGAATTGATAAGTTACTTAGTTTTGCGCACCTTTATTTTTTCTTTTTTTTTTATCAACGGCCAAGTTTTGGACTTCTACGCTTGCTCAAAGAGGATCCGCCAGGGAGGTTTGCTTTGCCCTCTTTTATTTTGTTTGGCTGAGGAAGTTCTTAGTCGCAGTTTAACTTCGTTGCTCTGTTCTGGACATTTGGTGCCTATGCCTGCCCAGCGGAGTCTGTCTACCCCTTCACACATTCTTTTTGCAGATGATATTCTGATTTTCGTACGTGTCTCTCGTTGTAATCTTCGTCATCTCATGCGTTTTATTGTTGAATATGGGCTCAACTCAAGTCAATTGGTTAATAAATCTAAACCTTTAGTGTTTCTTGGTAAATATGCTTGTCCAAGACATACATCTATTAGAAACATACTTGGAATTCGTTTGGCTTTGCCCTTTAAATATTTACGGGTTCCAATTTCCGGGGTCGTCCCCTGCGTAGTTACTTTCAAGACATTGTGAATAAGGTTAAGTGCAAGCTATCGGCCTGTAAGGGACATATGCTTTCTTAAGCAAGTCTTCATCTTATCACTTCTTTCATTCAGAGCATTCTCATTTATAGCTTCCAGGTTTATGCTTCGCCCCGTCTTCTCCTAAATCAAGTACAACATTGGGTGATAAATAAATTTTTTCTGATCAGGTGATCCCAATTCTCCTGGTGTTCCTCTTGTCTACTGGCATGTCTGTTGTCGTCTAAGAATCTCAGGGTTTAGGCTTGAAAGATTTGTTAGTTCTGAATCACTCTCTTCTTTTGAAACGTTGTTGGAATATGTTTAAATCCCGTTCTTTGATGGCCGTTTTTACGCATGCTCTTGATTCCTTTATCGACGCATAAAAAGTCTGTTATTTGCCTTTGTTTTAAGAAGATTATCCCCCATTATCTCGTCAAATTCGACGTGCGTCCTTGGAGATGGTTCACAAATTTCTTTTTGGTTAGATAATTGGTTGGGCAGGCCTCTGGTATCACATCTTGAGATTCCATTGATGCTACTCCTTTCCCTTTACAAGCATCTACGCATTCCTTGTGTTGGTCGGGATCTTTATCTGGCCTCCCTTCGGCGAAAGAGGCTTATTCTCATTTGCTTAGTTTTGACAATCAAGTGCCTTTTGGGGTGGGGGGGGATAATTTGGTCTCGGCGAATTCAGCCTTGCAGAAGTCTTGTTGTTTGGAAGGTGTTGCAAGGACGCCTTCTCACAGATTCAGTTCTTCAACGCATGAGAATTATGTTACTTTCTTTCTTTTCTACGTGTAATTCGACTTCAGAGTCTACTTGGCATCTCTTTTTGGAATGCCCTTGGAAGGTAGCTTCATGGCAATGGTTGTTGGCTCTCTCCCGACGTCCTTGGGACGCGGTGGAGTCTCTCTCGCAGGTTTTTCTAAGACATTTATTGCTGGTTTTTCAGGCTCTTCTAAAAAGTTTTTGGTTTAGGTAGTTCTATATTTTTACTTCCTCTTGCGATACCATTGGCTCAAAGTTCTGATATGTTTTGATTACTTGAGGCGGTAGGTTGGATCTCTTGCGAAACATAAGTAACAAGGCAATGACAGTTGCAACCACTACAAAACCCAAAAAGGATACGAGGATAACAACACCAATTTTGCCTTTATTAACTCACTAATAGTTGTTATTACGCTCTGGAACATAAATATCTGCCGGAGGAGCTGCATGCACTCAGTCCGACTCCCTCTGCATCTCCATACAAGCCTTAGTTTCCGACAAAAGCATTAGCTGGTGCGTTCTGGAAAATGCCACAACTTGGAATTAGCCCTGTCAAGTTGTTATAAGAAAAATCATAGCGCTTGAGACTAACAAGTTTGGAACATGCAAGTTTCTGCTGAGGTATTCTGCTGAGATCCAAGTAGTGACAACTACCCAACTAGGGATTGATCCTGTGAAGTTGTTCCCGCTCGCATTGAGTAGAATTAAAATTTCTGGTCGAATGACTGCATGCAACTACTCCGGCAGAGCTCAGGTGGAGTTCGACCAGAAATTTTAATACTACTCAAGGGCATACTAATTAATTTTCTTAATCTTGATGTGAGATTATTGTATTTCTTTCAATAATGTGTAATTAAAATATGCATCCCATTGATTCCCAATCCCCTATATGATTCAAAACAAATCCTGTAAGAAGAAAACCAATGAATCACAAAATCTGAAAATTTTAAAAGGTGAATACTTCTTGCTTTGAGCCAAAAAATTCGTCAGGGAGTTGATGATTACCATCTCAAGCAAGAATACGCGGAACTTCAAACGTTCTACAACTCTGGCAAATCCAACCTACTCCACGACCTGAGACAATCAAAGGATGTCAGTTTTTGGCCGCCCCTTTTCTCCTTTTGATCCAAAGGGAAGCAAAGCAAGAAATCCAACAACTAAAACATGGGGAAACCAACAATTTGACAAAAGAAATCCAACAAAATCCACAACTTTTAGCCTTAGAAATTCAAGCGAATTACAACGGTAACCTTCATTAGCAATAACGAGAAAAGCAACTCCTCTCATAACCAAAATACAAAAGTTATCTTTAAGCCATGTAATAATGAAAATGAAATGAGAATTCGTACCTGAGAAAACTGGATTTGGCTACTTGGAAGAGAGCAGGGCGTTGATTGTCATGATTACTCTTATATGCGGGGGAACAGAGACCGCAAGATTGCAAAATATATTCCAAAGTTAAACACGAAATTCAAAAGTTAGATGGGAAAATGGCATTTCATTATAATAGCTCAGATAGGGTGAAAATCTCTTGTCAGGACTATCTCAAAGACAAGAACACAAAGCTAAATTGTCATTGTGTTGTTAGTCCTACTATGCACAGCTTAAACTCGAGAAGACATTTCAAAAATAAAATAAACTTTCTTCCATACAGCTGGATTCTACGGCTCCTCTTCGTCATCAAGTGGCCCTTGACAAGCAAAAGGGGGTGGTGGTGGATCAACGCTCAAGGTGCCCTCCAAGACCTTAACCACCTCTCTCATTGGAGGTCTTCTACGTTCATCAGTTTGGACACACCAAAATGCAATTCTTAAAGCACGTTCCAGCTCTTGCACAATAAACCCACCAATTATTTTCCTATCTACCACATTCTCTGGATGCCCTTGCAGCCACTCTTCGTATGCCCACTCACAAAGGTCCCCAACTCGACACCCACTTACTAATACTAACACCATCTTACCAAAGTCCTCCACATCTCTCTCTGCAGAAGAGCATGAAGAGCATGATGCCTTGCTGACTATGTTCCCAAGTCCAAATTCAGTCACCTTGGCCTCTAAATTTTCATCCAGTACCACATTCTCGCATTTCAAATTCCCATGGCTCATAAATTCCCTACAGCTTGTGTGCAGATAACAAATGGCCCTTGCGACACTTAAGCATATATCAAATCTCTTCCCCCAAGTCAGCTTCTTACACAGTTTAACATCTTCTATATACTTTTCCAGAGAACCATTCTTGACATATTCATAGACCAGAAATCTGTGATCTAACTCACAACAGTAGCCCTGCAGCTTCACAAGGCTTTTGTGATGAATGTTTCCTATCTTTGCAACTACACACCGGTATTTTCTTTCTTCTACGCTTGCATCCACATCTTTGATTGCAACTTGTTTTCTATTTGGAAGAACACCTTTGAACATCTTTGGCCCAATTTGATATTTGAAGTTCTCTGTAAGCTCCTCTATTTCAGAGAAGGATAACACTATCAAACCATTCGAGTTTGGGCTGGTATGAGCAAACGCGGCTTTCTTCCTATCCAAATTTCTTCTTCTGTAGAACCAGAAACCAAGTGCCAATTGAACTAAAACAAATACGACGAACACTCCTGAGGCTGCTCCGATTAAGCAAGGGAAACAAAACTTATGAGACCGATTGAGAGGAGGGGAAGGCAACGAGAGATTGGGATTTACAGCTAATGGATCTGCACACATTTTCACGTAAGATACTGAACTCAGTGAGGGGTCTGAATAGCCAGTTACATACGGTGTTCTCTTAATTAAGCATCGTGCAGTTCCATCATTTGTAAAGGTTGTAGCTGTACAAGTCAGGTCATTCTGACACAAGCTTTTGCATTTCTCTAGACTAACTTTGGCAACTACATCATCAGTTGGTGGGTACATTCCATGTAGAGAAGTATGCTTATAATGATGCATGTTGGAACCAGAAGCACACCGATGATTTGGTATAAAACATCTGGAAGTGGACTCATTTGTCTGCTGCCTAAATGGACATTCGCAATCAGGGAACCCAGATTCATTGAAAACACAGATGCCACGTTGGCCACAGGTCGCAAAGACATCACACTGGTTCTCAACTGCTTGCCAGACTGATCTCCATGACTCTGATTCTTCTACCCATGAGTATAACCGGAGATTACCATCAACATCTAGCCTAAGAAACCTGTAACTTACAGAGTCATTGTGATCTTGACCATATAGTGACCACACAGGTTTCAAGTTTTGATCACGGAGTTGTAGGGCTCCATCAGAAGTGATGAAAGCACTGAGGTTTGAACTAGGAGGGCTTCCACTTGTCCAGTAGGTGACATGACTTTCCCATCGAAGCTCCAACTGACTAGAAGCACTCATGAAAAGAGTGTAGTAACTGGACACACTATTCCTGCTTGCAGCTCGAAGTGTTTGAAATGTAGAGAAGTTCTGTACAGGAAGAAGTATGTCAGATGGAGAATCAAAACTTTGCCAAACAATATGTTTCTCTTGATTCAATAGAACAAGATTTCCATTGTCATTAAGAGCAGCAGAAACAACTGATAATTGCCTTGTTTTACTGGTCCATGCAGTGACACCCTTCAAGGAATCAAATAAAACTAGTTCACCATCCTGGGTCAGCTGGGCATAAGAATCGTTACCAAGAATAAGATCATCTGCAGCACTCCATACTAAAAGTTGTTGGTCAAGCGGAATGGATTTTGAATTGAAACGGATCCCAAAACTATAGTTTGGCTGGTCTGAACAGTTAAAAAATCCAAACACAAAATCACCATTTGGAGAGATCCATATGTTTTTATCGGCCACAGAAAGTTTTGAACCTAAGGGAATCTCTGCACCAGAAAGAGTACGTAACAGGAACACAACAAAGATGCACAGCAGGAGATACGATTTAGGGAGATGTTCGACCAGTTCAGGCATATCTGAATATCTTTATAGATCCTACAAAACAATAAATTAGAACTGTGAGCTCTCCAAGTGCTGAATCATGTTCGCGTATCAAAGTTAATGAATTTCACTACGAAAATTTAGAGTAGAACTGTTGAAGCAGAGAAAAAGGTTGACAAGTTCCAACATTTTCCAAAGCAACCCCACTGATAAGTAAAAATGCCAAGAATCAAGGCAACTTATAGCCCAAATACAATAAAAATAAAAACAAAAAAAAAATTGAAAAATCACTGTTTTCAGGCCAAAAGAAAATTGAAGTTCCAAAAAATTATGATAAACTCAAAGAAATAACATTCAACACAAACTTCATACAATTCAAGAAGGAATACATACAATCTTCAGAATTTAGTACCTGAAAATACAGTTAAAACCCCAGAAATTTATCAAGCCGGTGTGGAATGCCCCCATGACCATCTCAGAGGCACCCCATTATTATATATTTGGAACATTATAATATTGTCATGTGAGCATTCAGAATTTTGAAGAATCAAACAGAGATTGACTGACAGAATTAGGCAGGAAGTAGCCTATAACAAAAAAAAATGAGCTGTAAAGGCAGTAAAGATTTGAATTGATTCCTGTGGATGAATGGGACCCAAAATTAACCCATTGGAGTCAGTGTTTACTGTTTAAGCAAAGCAATCCCTCTCAGGGCTTGAAAGGTTAAACACACTGGACAATGAATATTGCAGACAAATCATCATTCAAGATTTTTTTTTTTTTTTTTTGGTCAATTATCACTGAAGATTAATCTCATTTACACTTATGAACTAGTGAGATTTGAATACAAGCGGTGTTACTACTTTAATATACACTAGGGGCAAGGGTGAGAATCCGGGATGCAGTGGGTTAAAGAAGAACGCCCCAACCAGTACCCCTAGGACAATCCAACACTCTGCTGCATCAGTGAGATTTGAAAATGTAAAAAAAATTGAAACTTTAAGCATTGACAGTGAGTGTCATCCTACTAACTAGTTTGCCAAATTTGCTTTTCTTCTGCTTTTTCTTGAAAGCTTTCCAAGAGATGCTTTTTTCTTGAAAAGTTGAACAGATGAAATGTAGGGGCCTAAAAGCAGAGGATAAGAGAGCAATAGAAGTGTTGGTTCATATAACAACTTAACAAACACAACAAAATCCAGTAAAACCCTAATTTGCAAACCCTAATTCAAAACCCCAAATCAAATTCCCAACTTTAAACACCACAACTGAACCATAAAAAAATACAAAAACAAAATTAAAAAAGCAGAAATTTGAGAGAAACGGCGGCAGTAGAGAAAACTGAAGAGAATAAGAACTTACCAATGAAATGTGAGGCACGAGAAAAAAAGCCGGGCGGCCTGGGGTTTTGAAATGGAGAGGGTTTGAGAAGAAGTTGCTTATTGGAAAAGTGATTGTGCAGAAGCAATGTGAGAGAAAGTGGAAAAGAGAGCGGGGGTTCGAGGTGGGGCGTTAAATGTCAAAGCAGCCGGAGACGGTGAGAAAGAGTCGCCGGAGAAGAGGTAGTGACATAGTGATTAGTGAGCGAGTGAGTGAGTGAGTGAAAGCGAAAGATTTTGCTGCTGCGAGAGTACGAACTCAATTTTCCTTTTGCACCCTTCTTTCTATTTATGTTTTTTTATATTTTTCTTTGATTAATTAGAAATAAATAAATAAATCTTTATGAACATTACCTTTCAGATGCCGCACGTTCATCACTTTTTCTAGATTTTTCATCTTATATGATTATTGAAATTGACACCCATTATCAATTTTGGTTTTTGAATTTGATTATGTCCAAAATTCTGTTTATGTATTGATGCGGCTCAGTGTGAGGTTGTCATACTCGAATAACATAGTGCCACGTGTATTTCACTAAAAAGAGAGAATGAAGCGAACAGAAAATGAGGGTATGTGGATCAACCACTCTATATACAAATTTATTTGAAACGAATTCAATATTATTGGACGTCTCATTTTAAAGATACATTATCACATAAAAATGTTATATAATTTGATGTATTATAATATTAAAATTTACGAATAAACTCATTTCATATAAATCGTTGGCTGGAATGATACAACTATAACAAAAACTTTGGAGGCTTCCCAGCTGTGCTTGTATGAAGTCAAACATTATATGATTAAAGAAGAATATACAAGTCTGCACAGTCACAGAATCAAAAGCTGATCTGGTTAAAGGAACAAGAAGATAACCTTCAATCCTTGCCAAGATAACAAGAAAAAGGAAAATTCTTTTTACTCTTTTCTTTCCTGCTACTTTCTCCCAAAAGGATACAAGAATTAAATTAAGCTAAAAAGCCACGATGCCTATTTTTAATCGGAGTAGGATTTTCTCTTCTTTTTTTTTTACTTTTTTTTTTATTTAAATGGTAACGATTAAATTATATCAACATCTTATGTTATTTTTTATAGAAATAGAATGACAAAATGAAAAATGTGATAGGAGGGAAGAGAATGAGAAAGGAATGGATGGAGAGATAATTCTACTCCCTTCTAATCACAATTCACCCACTCAACTGGTTGATGTTGTTGGCTTTTGTGTTCATAGGCAATGATTCGAAATTTTAGACCTCCAGTCACGGATTTCTACTGTTCGTTTTTTATGTCATCGTCCAATGATTATCCAAAGATTATACAACATTTAATCATTTACTTGTCATCATGATTATTTCATTGTTTGTAGGTAGAAATGTTTTAGTTTATAAGTTCATTATGGTAAGATCATAGTACGTTTTAAAATGAGTAGTTCTATTCACATACTTTTTTTACCGCTTACACTTTCTTATTAAATTTTATTCATTTATCGTCTTCAATTCATTCAATCCGACGGCTGAAAATTAAGAATGTGTGTCAGAGATAAAAATAGGTGTGTGAATAGCATCACTTTTAAAAATAAGTAAATTGAATTCATGGATGCGCAATCTTTATTGGTCTAAAACATGAATTTTGATGCAAAAATCAACCAATTATCACTATCGATACAAATTCTATAAAAATGTTAGAAATTGTGAGAGGTGTGGAGTAAAAAATAATTCCAAAAAATTTGGAGATGACACGTAGATTTTGTTCCCTAAGAAGACCAAATTGCCCTCATTAAATAAGCAGGGCACACAAAAATTCTCACGCGTAGCTGAACATCCTTGAAGACTCAAGCAGTTGACACTGACAGTACCAAGCTCCCCTGCTCGTCACATATAAATGTCAATTGCATGAAAGATAGGATTAATCACTAAATCTTATCTTTAATACGTTTATGTGGGACTATGAATTTTCAAGGCCAAAGTAAGACGGATCGGAATGCGCCTATCTCAAAAGTATGGTCAAGGACAACAACGGAGCTGACTAAACGGATACCGATGCCACCATCATCCTGTTCCAAAATCAATAAGTGAAGTTCGTCAAGATTCGGGAACCTAATCCAGCAAGGAATCATCAAGTTTCATATGTCTTGGAGTCCTTACAATCTAAAGATTATTTTGCACCCTAAGTAATCACATTCTTAAGAGGATGCAATATCTACTTCCTAGACATCTTCATGGATTCTCCTAGTTTAATAAGGATTCTACTATCCTAAAAGGTCATTTCCTCAATTGATATAATATCGCCTTCTATGTTTCATCTCTGGTAACACAATCTCTGCATACTTATTCTCTTACATACTACTTAAGTCTTAATATTACTTACTAACTTAATCGTTGGAGAGCCTTTGACCAACACACCCCCTCCCTCGGTACTGGATTTGCTTACAGTTGTTTGTTCTTTTACAGGTTAACAAGTTTGGGCATCTCTACCATAAGTAGTGCTACGCAAATTTGGTTCCAACGATTCCTATTTGAAGATCAACTCAAACAAGTAAGAAATCATCATCACAATCGATCAAGGAAGGTTTCATCATTATCTCAAGATATTATCTCCTAATTAATATCTTGGGATAATTCTTTCTTCATACATCCTACAGATGACACAACCTGATAAATGGGAAGCCGTCACATGTAGGGCAGAACTCTACACCTAGGCCAGCCACCTCGTATAAGTACCTTATCTCCACTAAATTTTGGTAAGCTTTTGTTATGCATACAAGGTCCTAAACAGTCATTCTTTTCAAAGAAATTGACTTGGGCATTAGAAATTCATTGGTCAACCACCTCGTGGGCATGTGTGGCTTTGGTCATCGATTAAAATGTTGAATTGTTCGTTCAGTCAATTATCTTCTTTTTTTCTTTTTTTTTCTTTTTTGGAAAGTGGGATCCAAAAGGATTGCCAACGAGGAGCTTTTATTAAAACAAACACACACATACAAACAAAACAAAGGCCCAATTTATTCCTAGAAACAAACAAAGAACGGGCCTAAAAACAAAGAAAACACAGAAAATGAGCCCAACAACAATGAAGCCCAAACAAAAACGAACATCCGAGAAACATCCATTGTGCTCTCCACCACCAATCCGAGAAGCAGCCAACCATCCAATCCTCTGTCCACTACCGATCATCACCTCCATATGCGCCACCTGCACACAGCCATCAACAAGCGATAGTCGGCGAGAGAGAAGTCAACAATCGGAAAGAAGCTATGGGAAAATCCCGAGCAACACCATCGCGAACGGCAGACAAAAGGAGAACGTGGTGGTGTAGGAAACACCCAAGCCGAATACAACACCGGAACTCCACACACGAACTTAACAAAAACCATGGCTGAAAAACAAAGCACGGAAGGGCCATGAAAAGGGATACCCACAGGGGTTGAGGGATGGGAAAAGCCAGAGAGGAAAATGAGAAGAACCATCAGCAAATGGAAAGGGAGACGAAAGAAAAAAACAAAAGCAAAAAAACCAGAGGAAAAGGAGAAAGACCATCAGTAGATGGAAGGGGAGAAGAAAGAAAAAGCAAAAACAAAAAACCACCCACCAATCCCAGCCGCAGCAGGGATCGGTGGCACCAAACGAAAGCACGATCAGGAAATCACTCACACAATATGGTGAGAAGCACCCTCAAACAAAGGGAAGAACTCTTACAGGGAGAGAAAAGAGTCAATATCTAATATTTTGACTAAAGAAATTGAGGGAACTTCATTGCATATTTGGTTTGAGTGATTTAAGGTAAGTGTGATACGAGTTGACAATCTACGATATTTATAATAATATACTCCAATATTTTATATTGCATGGTCCGTTGCAAGAGTAACTTAATATCACAAGATTCAAAATTTATATTATTATTTATACGCAATTAGTTTTTTCATTTGACCATGATTATCAATTTAGAAATGAAGAGTGAGCTTTAATAAGAGGGAGAAGAAAGGGAAGGAGAAGGAAAGCAGTTGAGATTGAGAGACTTTGAAAAAACGAAAGAGAGGAACAAGCTTCCTCCTATATGATTTTTCTATCTATTTAAGAAAATTTAGGAATGACAAGGGAAAGGGAGCGGTCGGAGGGAGTTCCATATGATTGAACTGCAACTATACATCTTTGAGTCTCTTTTTAAAACAATATGCACGCTTCCAATATGATGAGATAAAAATTATATACTGTTGTGTAAACGTTACAGTGATACTTATTCAAAGCGCAATTGCTACAAGATAAAATAAAGGGGTTTTATCACAAATGATCTTTAAAATTGACCAATCCCATCAAGATGGTCCCTGAATTTGAAAATCGATCAATGTAGTCCCTGAAATTGAGTGTCACAAATCAATGTAATCCTTCTGTCATAATTCCGTTAAAAATTCTATTA